CCCTCCTGTAGGACCAACCACGAAGTGACTGTACTCATCTGCAGCCGATCAATGTTATATTGCACAAGAAGATATCGTTTTCGCCAAGCCAGTGCCCCGCCAAAGACCATCGCCGTGTCACACCGTCGGAACGAGTTCATGATGAGAAACATCATTCGCGCGAGCGTGATGAAGAACTAGTTCGAAAGACAACATAGTCTTTACCCCCGGGACGACAACTATGCGCACGTCCTGCAAGGGGAGAATGTCACCAGCGACATCAACGAAGACGACGGCAGTATTTCGGAAACCTGGAGTCAGCGGAGGTCGTCAGGCTCCTCCGCGACCCGGTACATGTACAGTATAGGTGACATGTCGACACGAGCGTGCGGAAACACAGCATACACTGTAGTAATGTTGCGAGAGTTTGCGGAAGGAGTCCAAGTCGGGAAATCCATCAGCTCCAAACGCTACCTGTAGGTGGGCGATGAGACTCCAGCTTCAGACTACAACAGTCAGGACTTGTAAAAAGTTGAACTTTGTGAAGCAGCAGATCGAGAAGTAACGTGTTAGTTAGCTGAAATCGTAGCTGTTGCAGTATGTCGGCGCTATGTAGCTTGCATTTTTTACGGAGAGTCGATCGCCACGCGAATGTTTCTCTCCTCACCGAGAGCTATCTGGCCTCCAAACTCCGTCAGGGTCTGCCTAAGGTACCGAAGGTCCTTTGACTAGCTGCTGGCAGGACTCCATCAAATCCTTTAGCTTCAGCTCGGCGAGCAAAAGTCTCTCTCTCCTCCGCCATGAGCTGTCACACACAAACTGAATACAAAACGATGCACTTCACACGTGCTGGCTTGCACGCGTGCCCCCTTTCACGAACCCAGACAATCTTTTCGGGATTGGTCTATTATGTCAATGAGTTTCAGACCGTCAAGTCACACACAAAGTTCAAACAGCCAAAGGGGAATTCCGGCATGCCGGCAGTACCGATAAAAGACGCCATTCTTAATTTCTTACCATGCATGACGTGACCACTGATCTGAAGTGAAGAGATTCTGCACTGAAGCCGTTGGCCAGCGTCGGAGGGTCCGGGTTGGACTCTGGAGAGTCTGACTGTGCCGTTTTGGATTTGCTTGGAGGCTGGAGTGGAGAAGAAGACTTGGATGAGATCGCTACTCTGCTATTGCTTTCTCGTGTTGTGTTTGGTTTGTTCTGTTTTCCTTTGGCTTCTGTTCACAATGGTTCATATGTTGTGTTAGCTTCTGGCGTCCAGGTCTGCGCGAAATTACCAACTAGTAAATTAGTTACTTGTTAGTCTTTGCACCCGGTGCTTCATGTAGTGACACTGACGGCGTCGCCACCCCAAATGGCGTCTCATGTAGCAGCATGCATGCAACGCCTTGCTGTTAGTGTCAAGTAAGTAATTGCATGTACATGTAGTTACTTGGGTAACAGGTAAGTGCCAGAGATGCGCCTGCAAGTGCAAGATTCATAACAAAAAGGCTATGTTTTTCGCACCATGTCTATAACGCAACTAACGTGTTACTTGAAATGTTACACTAGTGTCGCGCTTTGCTACCTTTGCACCCTTTGCTACTACTTCGTAAAAGGTGAACACACATCTGAATGCAAGGAGAGCAAACAATACAAACGTTGAACAGCAAAATTGAAGGATAAAAATGTGAATGGCAACAGCTACGTTTTCTTTCTTTTTTTTGCTACCTTTGCGCGCTGTACTAGTACTACCTACGCTTCACGCGTCTTGCTTTCCTACCTGCCTGGGTATAAATACTTGGACCCAAATGATGTACAGGTTATCAGTTGTCTGAGCCTCAGCTTTGCTATGTGTAGGAAACGCAGCGTTACAACAAACCTAGCCGGTTGTCTCTGTTCTCTTCTGCCTTTGTGCTATGTTTTTATTAAAAAAATAGAGACCTGTTGCAGTCCGAATTATGTTTCGTTAGGCCGAGTTCCGAAAGTAGAGTGACAGAAATTCGGTGCTATCTTTCTTGATTTTGCAGATCGAAAATTCTGGTTTCGTGGCTTTTGCTCGCTAGCGGCTAGCGCTGCCAGAAAGAACCCAAACGTCTTTTGCGCTATTCTCATGGTGGTGACGATGGAGTCAGAGGAAAGGACGCACTTCTTCCTCTTATTGGAGTGTCCTCATACGAGTCATAGCCAGAAGAACCACGTACAAATGGGTTCTCCTCAGCCCGAAGACGGGTGAGGTCCATGGCCAAATCGAAATGTATTTTATCCTCGGCTTAGAGGATTCCTGGATTCCTTTGTTGGACCTGAGCTTGGCAGGTTGAAAGCATCCGCTGCCCCCAACTAAGGCGCAGTGGGTGTTGTGGGCGTACCAGGGCTCGAGGAAGACGAACAAGAAGAACTACTTGATCGTGAAGCTGCACTGTTTCCTGACACTAACAATTACAAGAAATACCCGCTCGGTACAAAGAGACAGAAAAAGTACAACTTTTTTTACTTGCACTCAGGGAGTAGTCGAAATTAATACCGACTCCCTGCTTGCAGTTGCACTTGACCGTGCGGGCACACCGAAACTCGAAAGGCGAAACACAACTTTTTTCGCCGTTTCGGCCAGACTGCTTGTTTCGCGAAGTTCGGGACGAATCTTCGGATAGACTTTCTGTCCTCTGACCCGGGCTTTGAAAATTTCAAAGGAAATGTTCTGTCCCCGGGGAAAATTGCGGAAAAAAATCGCAAAAAACGCGGGGAAAAACGCGGCATAATATGGCATAATTTGCGGTGAATTTGCGGTAAATATGCGGTAAATATGCGGTGAATGCGGCAATTTTCAGTGAGTATGTAGTGAAATCAATCAGTTACAAGTCTCTGGTGTATAAAGCACCCATTATTTGAGTAAAAAGCCGCCACGATGAGACGTTGCTGACCGAAAAGTGCACTGTGTGTACGTGTAGTGCAACAAAAAGTTCAAAAAAACGCGGGAAAATCGCGGAAAACGCGGTCTTTTAAAAAATCGCAAAAAACGCGGAAAAAAACGCGGCCGCGGAATCGCAATTTTCCCCGGGGACAGAATGTTACGGTATATTATGGCCATGAAGAGATAGCATAGTATTGGATCTATAAAACTAATGCGAGAAATACTGAAATCCTAAAAAAAATAGCACTATTGAAAGCGTGATTAGTAAGGCGAGCGCCGAGCGGTAGTAAAGTTTAAGTATGTGTGGAGTGGAGGTGAGAATCAGTGCTATGGATGTGAGTAGCTATGTGGGTAATAATGCAAGACGTGACAAACCGAAACGGCAACATCATACTGAACTCAACTACGATTATGATGGAGTGCTATGGAGTGCTAGTAGTTGTGTGCAACATCGTAGTGGAACCCAGGCAGTAGGATGTTGCCGTTTCGGTTTGTCACAGTTAGTCTTCGCTTAGCTTCCCCTTTCTTTCTTTTTTTCTTTCTTTTTATACGAAAGTCCACTATATTCCCGAATATGTGCGAGAAGTGGTGGCGGGGCCAGGCTGCTCTGCCGACCTCAAACTGTCAAAGGTCTCGGCGTCTACGCAGACAAAGCGCGCCATAATGCAGTAAAACAATGAGGAGGGGAGGAAGAGGGGAAATGAATAAAAGTGAGAACCGAGGACAATGGGTGGATGGTCGTGAGAGAAGCAGAGTGAAAGATAACGTCACATTTTGGTAAGGGGGGGGGGGGGGGAGGATGCTAGAGAGGCGCTGGTCTAAACCATTTCATAGGGCGTCGGTGGCTGCTTGCCAGTTCAGGTGCAGCAGATACTTGTTGCATTTTTCTTTGAATAATTGGAGCTGGCTGGGTTGCGGCCGTGCTGGTAGAATGGTCGCTGGTAGGCTGTTCCACAAGGGAATAATGCAGTCTGGGTAGGAACCCTGGAGGCTGCTACGAATGCGCACGGGCAGCGTCGACTTGAGCTGGAGCGGGTGGCAGTGGGCAGTTTCCGTGGCTAACCTAGTGGATCGACCACCCACTGGGCGGGGGTTGGCTGGAGGTGGGAGGATGGGCTTCAGGGGGATGGTTGTTGGAAGGTAGGACAGCTTGAACGTGAACGAAAGCGCAGCAACCAGTCGGCGGTGTTTCAGGCTGGGGAGCCAGGCGCCTGGGCCAATCACCTTCCGTGCCTTGTGCTGGATTTTGTCCAGCCTGGATGTACCTGACCCCATCCACACCAGGCAGCAGTATTCCATTGTTGGCCGCACGAAGCCTTTGTAGACTGCCGCGCCGCCTATGTTTACTACATAAACTTGAGCCTCCCGAGCGGGGTGGTCTGTTGCTTTGCGTCGTCGAGTGGTAGGGAGACCGGTATGTCCAATAGCCTTACTAGTTTCGTCATCATCCAGTAACTTCCGGCATTCTTTGTTGCCGTGGGACGTAGCTAATGCTCTTCTTCGTTGCGCTTTCCTTCCCCTCTTGCACCTTTGCTAACCTGAGCCTTCCAAGTTACAGTTTAGTTCAAAGGTTGTTGGTTTGCGCCTTGGAGAAGTGTTGGAGCTAGGTGTCAAGTTGTTCAATGTCTCAGTACTCCTTGTCAGTTTTGTGCCATTTTGTCGCACTCGTTGACTAGTCAACTGTATAATTATGATCTGGCTACGTTGCTGGACAGTCAGTCATAACTCGTAAAATTGTTGTCCTTCTCCGTTTTCCACATTAGGCATGATAGACATTTTACCGTTCACCCTAACTTCGACCATCGGCCTGTAAATCATGGTAAATACCCGCACCACTTTTGCTTGTTTTCAACTTTCAAGACATGATTAGGGAGAGAGGGAGGGAGGGAAAGAGAGAGGGAGAGAGAGAGAGAGAGAGAGAGAGAGAGAGAGGAGAGAGAGAGAGAGAGAGAGAGAGAGAGAGAGAGAGAGAGAGAGAGAGAGAGAGACAGAGAGAGAGAGAGAGAGAGAGAGACAGAGAGAGATCGAGAGAGAGAGAGAGACAGAGAGACAGAAAGACAGAGAGACAGAGAGATGAGTGTACAAGTACCTAAAAACTTTAAAAAAAGAAAAAAAGAATGCTGCACCATCAAGAGTTTGAATATCAAGCTGCCAGAATAAGGTTTTTTAATGACACAACACCAAGTAGCCTTGGCATGAATTAAAATCCAGGCATGTTGCCGCATTATGTTTTTTTTAAGAACGTGAGGAAACGCATCTATAACTTCATCCAGATTTGTTTCTCTTTGCCTCCAGTAATGTGTAATATTTATTTATTTTTGCTTTGTTTTTGTTTACTGCCATGGCTGGCTACCGCCCCCCCCCCCCCCCCCTCCCTCCATATTGGCCCATATTCTCTGGCCACGGGAAGGTGAAATAAATAAATAAATAAATCTACAATGTAGACAGTTTTAGTGACCGTACTTCCGCACATACAGTCAACTTCGCTAATAACGACTGCGGATATAACGACAATTCGCGAATAACGACATCATTTTCATGCCCAGAGCAAAGTCCCATCCAACTGTGACACATACATGTATAATGAGACTTCGGGTATAACGACACTTCGCGAATAAGGACAATTTTCTGATGCCCCGCCGAGTGTCGTTATACGCAAAGTTGACTGTACAGTGTATAAGCGCCTGTGCTTATATGTGAACAGTATTGGTGAAAAGGCGGGAGCTGAATATACCACTAAGCAGTGTGATAACACCATTGTTTAGGACACAGACAAACCTTTATATAAGCACACATATAAGTGCATTGACTTTTAAATGTGGGGAAGTACGGTAAGAAATAAACTCATCAGCATGTGAATTTCTCACGGTTCAGTGACAGAGGCCTTTTTAAAAAAGTTAGAAGGGCTGCTCAGCATTCTACATTGCATGAAGAAGAAAATGTGAAAAGTCTGCCTGGATGAGAAAAAGCGCATGCAAATACAAGTAGATGATGTTTGCTCACAGGCTTAGTTTTTGCTGGAGGAGAACAGTTCAACAACTTCCCGGAAACTCCAGTGGCTTCTGTGCTTCGCGTACAAGTGTTAGTTCTATGCCATCATACCTACATGTACATACAGCATACGCATAAACTAGACTGAGTACTTGTAGTATCCAGGGACTATGAGAAGAAATAAAATAAAAAAATTCCTATATTTAAAAAAATCAGAAGTAGAGACAAACTTGGCCACTGCGGAGCGGTGGCCGGTTAAGGCTTTTTTTAACTAATAGAGAGCGGAGTCCTCCGGTTCGATAGAGTGCTCAATGCGGCAGCAGAGCAGTAACACACGAGCAGTTTTCTGAAGATTGCCATCTGGCATGAAACTATTGGTTACGACAATCCAGACGCGTGATACTCTGTGACTCGTGTTTTAAATTAATATAAATAAATACAGCGCTGCGCCCTATGTCTATCCCAGGGGCTCAACAGGTCATGGAGCTGGTTCAGAACCAATCTTCGTTGTAGTTTTCAAGGTTGGAATCGATTTCGGGCCACTACAGCTTTTTGGGGGAGGGGTGGTTGCTAGCAGAATATTTTGACGATCTCGTTGATTGGCTGCCGGTCTAACGCACACACCTCGAGTTGGCCAGCGCAGTCACTGCAGAACGCCTGCACCAGAAGGTGAAACAGAGCAGAAATATTTAAAATTAATCGCATCTAGCGTAAAAATAACTTTCTTGGAGATAGGCCTGAGGCTTATCTAGGACAGAAAACACTATAGTCTATAGATCTTAGGCTCTTCACCACCACCACCACCACCACCACCACCACCACCATCATCATCAAATTTCCGAATAAGCCCAAATGACGTAATACGTACTATAAACACTCCACACAGTCACCTGGGCATGGTCATCTGGACTGGGGTGTTGAACAGTGTATTCCTATCCTGATCCCAGCGTACTCACACGTATTACACATACCTTCCATAATAAATATTGGCAATGAGCAACGGGCTGACAGATGATGATGATGATGATGGTGGTAAAGAGTGTGAGATCTGTAGTTTATCTACTGTATACTATTAGTCGTCATTTCCCAAGCCGCATGGACGGCAAGACAGGCCAACTACCATCTCGGCAGTTGATTCTACTCCATACGGGCCATGGTGTGCCACACACAGTCATCCCTGTCAGTCTATCTACCGTAAGTCAGCGCGGCAGTGCAATGGCACTGGCATGTATTCAGTCACAACACTCTTCACCGCTTCAGCATCACTTTCCCTGTAGCTTAAAGGGGAAGTTAAGGCTAAAATCAAAATTTCACCAGTTATAGTCTTCGGGGTGCTGAGTCGAATGGTCGTGGTCCGAGGAAGCTGAAACGCTCCCTTCCTACTTTCATCCCAATCGAACTCGCGCACTTCCACCGAAACTGGGTGACTGCGCCCTATTAGAAGGGGATTTGTATGCAACATGTCACTAAAAGCGCCATTTCGTTCTTATAAAAGCACGGATGACCGCGATTGGCCCATATGTTGTAGTCTTCTGGACGCTGAGTCGACTGGTTTTGGTCCGAGAAAGCCGCGATGCAGCGTTCCTCCTTTATTCCCAATCGAACGTGGTTGAAGAAGCGGTCACGTGCTCCTGCGTGCCCAAGTCACCTGGGCACAGCGCCAGCAAGCGACAACTTTCACACCAAGGTTCAACTCGAGTTCAACTCGAGTGACAGGACTGCACCCAAAAAGGGTCAAACAGGCTGTACGTTGTACCCTGCAGGCACGGTGACCAGGTGACTGGTGTACGCAGGAGCACGTGACCGCTTGTTCAAGCATGTTCGATTGGGAATAAGGGCCGAACGCTGCATCGCAGCCTTTTCGGACCAAAACCAGTCGACTCAGCGTCCAAAAGACTACAACATATGGGCCAATCGCGGTCATCCGTGCCTTTATAAGAACGAAATGGCGCTTTTAGTGACATTTTGCATACAAATCACCATCTAGTAAGGCGCAGTCACCCAGTTTCAGTGGAAGTGCGCGAGTTCGATTGGGATTCAAGTAGGAAGGGAGCGTCTCAGCTTCCTCGGACTAAGACCATTTGACTCAGCACCCCGAAGACTACAACTGGTGAAAATTTGATTTTAGCCTTAACTTCCCCTTTAAAAAAACATACGGTTCACCGTCCCTGCTTTTGAGATGGCTCTCAGAGTTGGCTCGTCTCGGCCAGGGTTTCATTGGCAGGTGCTTAACCTGCGGATCCGGAGTCTCCCGTGACAAGTCACGATATGATACCTGGCCATTACTATTCTATCCGCCGCACACACCTGATGGCCGCAGGGAAGAATGAGGGTGTTGACAGGCCGGTCCATGCAAACACGACACCTAGAAAGCAGACAGCAGATAATAATAATTATAATAGACGGATACAGTTCGCATGTCACTCATGGAAGGATCCGTGGGCTTAACGCATCTGTCAATGAAATCCAGACAGCAGATAGCGTACAGCAAAACAGGCATGTGCACAATTATACAAACACAAGAGTGGCATGCTGAGAACGGTACAGCTGCATGGATGGACGTTCAGAACCATAATGCACACCGCAACTGCAGCATATTGCTCACGGTGACCTCACCGTCGGGCTAACGGTGGATAATACCAGGCTAATAAATGGCATAGTAACATACGGGACGGATGACGATAATATTATAAACTTGCATAGCGCCAATCCTGTGCAAGGATTTTGAGTTTTGTTTTAATGCTTGGAGGGCCCTCTAATATGGGTTGACTGTAGCTGATTTCCAACGAATATACTACTGTGTTCTTGGCTTGGCTCTATGACTTGTTATTCAGCATTGTACATTGAAATCTGGGTTTGCCAGACCCTGTACCAAGCAGAATCTTGTATTGACCGGACAAATTTCATGCACCAACGTGCTGTAGATCGAACGTTCATCCCTGGATCAAGCAGAATCCTGTTTTGTCACGACAGTTTCCGCTGCACTTAGGGCGTCCGGTTATGCCAGGTGTTGCTGTACCTTTTGTCATCAGGAATGCCGTCGCTCATGTCCTCTGCCGGCTGGATCTTGATCGCACGCTGCTCCTGCACAAGCAACTTCCTCATGGCGTTGCTATCGGCGACCTCATACGGAGTCTGCAACGGCACAAAAACCCAGCCCACAGTACAGAAGAATCAGCTCGTGCATACAAAACGCACACGATGCTGGAGCATCGGAATCGAATACCGCAGTTTACCAGCAATAAGTCGACCCGGGCTATAAGTCGACCCCCTAAACTTGTGGCCTCGATTTCCAGGTTCACTGGCAGTAAGACTCAGGTTGTAAGTAGACTACTGGTACCCCTCGTTACTTCGATTTGTTGGTCACAACAGGTTGACGTATAAAATTCGTACCAGGTACAATATGATACAGGCAGTGTAAGGCAGCGCAATCTTGGAAACAAACTCATCATCATCATCATCATCATCATCATCATGAACAGCCTCTTGTACGGGCAAGCAAAAACGCAATACATCAAAATTCAATTAGAATGAAAAAAGAGAGGAAAATGAACACAAAGTGCACTCAATATAAAAAGGAACGCAAGTGCAGTTGAACACAATGAGCATGGGGCCACCAATCGGAGAAGACCTCATAATGGAATAAAAGAACAAACATAAAAAACTTTTAAAGACACCGTACACATCAACGTGCTCGAAGGGTATGGCAGCTTGTTAAAAAGCTGTGGCGCTTGTATGATGCCCGCGAACCACATATGCAAGTAATACACCATCGGAGCAAACACAGCGACAATACAGATCGAAGTTGATCATCATCATCATCATCATCGTGTTCGATATTGAATTTTTTTATTTCACTTTTTTTTTACAAATTAATAATTATTGTTTTTATTCCATTTCTCATTTTTCATTCGTGTTGGGTTTAACTATTCACTGTACTGATACATGGTGATGATTGTGCTTCGCTTTGCCCGTAAAAGAGGCCTTTCCTTCAAAAAAATCATCATCATCATCATCATCATCATCATCATCATCACTTTAATCCTATTTATCGCACTACTCTCTCACCCGGCTGCTGCTGTTCTTCACGTTGACACGAGCACCGTGATCCGTCAGATAGCGCGCTATGTCTAGGAAGCCTTTGCGTGACGCCACGTGTAGTGCAGTCTCACGCCGTTTGCCAGCCTAGTTGATAACATGCACACAGAACACGCAGTGCACACATACGTAGATCACACACACGCACACACACGCACACACACGCACACACACGCACATATACGCATACGTGCACACACAGACACACACACACAGACACACACACACACACACACACAAACGCGCAAACACACACACACACACACACATACACATGTTAAAACAAGGCAATAGCAGAAAAAAAAGAATGACAACACTGGAGTGTTAACATATCCGCCAATCGGAAGGTACTGGACCAAAAAACAAAGCCAGATACCTCCCCCCCCCCCCCCCCCCTCCCTCACAATTGGCTAACCAGACAGCAAAGTTACCACTCTCAATGTAGCACAATATGACCATGGCATAGCGATGATCCCGTAACGGAAACACACTGCAGTGTTTGGACTGTTTTTTAGGCATCTTACCGTATTTTTCCGGTTGTAAGTCGACCTTTTACGACTTAAAATAGAAGGAGAAAGGGTGGGGGTCGACTTACAACCGGGATTCGACTTATAACCGGGAACTATCAGAATCTTACAAAAAAATGACCTGCACTGCATGCACGAGTGCACTATGTGTACACATTTTTCCAGTTTATTGGTCTTTTGAAGGATTGGGATGTTATAACCTCAATTAAGGAATGTTTACATGATTTGTTGATGTGTTAATAGCAGGAAGTGGTTAATAGTGCTTCTTTGGGTGAAAACTTTAAAACGCAGAATTGAGACCTCCGGATACGGGGGTCGACCTATAACCGGGGTCGACTTACAACCGGTAAAATACGGTAGTTGTCATCAGGGATTCGCAGCATCTATGTGCTGTCGTGGACATGGAAATCCGGTCGCATGTCTAGCGGCCCCAGGGCGCTGGCCATCTAGCCGTAATATTAGCGAGCGGTACGCACATGCATTTATGCGCTGCAGCTCGTTGGTCGCATCGGATCAACATGAGTGTGCATGCACTGCACGCAGCGTTCTGTACGCGCCGAGGTGAGGGCGCCGGCCACGGTCAATCGACTGGATTTCCATGTCCGCTACAGTAGATGATGTCATAGTACTCGAAGCGATGTGCGTCCAAGCCGCGGATTCGGAAGTTCCACGTGATCCGTGGTGCATTCAACTCGTGGTTGCAACCACAGCCTTAGCATGCTGCACCCGATATGCGCCCCAGACCAGCGATGCCATACGCAAGCATGCATGAGTCAGCCTGGCCCAGGGGCTACCTTACTGGAACGGGACTGCGAAACCCACTTGGTTCCACGTTCCAGCCACCTGCGTCACATCCCTAGGCGCTGGTAAAAGGTGTTCTATTGAAAGCACAAACCAATGCAAGGAGAGCAAAGAATTCAAAAGGTGAACAGCAAAATTGATCGATAAAGATGGGGCCCTAGACGCCACTTCGACACCAAGTTGTGGCATACAAATACTCACCGTGGCATTAATGTTGCAGACTGAGTCTACCAACACCTCCACTACTGGCAGGTGGTTCATTCGGACGGCGTCGTGCAGCGGATTGGCATCCGGCGTCTCATCCCCTCTCAGCTTGAACAGACCCTCTAGGAGTACGGTGTCCCTGGTTTCGAGAAGACTGCGAACGGCGGAAACATTACCAGCGCGCGCCTCCACAACCACACGCTGTACGCCTACAGCGAGTTGCCTACACGCATACAGACGACAAGTGAGAACACATGCTTAAAGGGGAAGTTAAGGCAAAAATTAAAATTTCACCAGTTGTAGTCTTCGGGGTGCTGAGTCGAATGGTCGTGGTCCGAGGAAGCTGAGACGCTCCCTTCCTACTTGAATCCCAATCGAACTCGCGCACTTCCACCGAAACTGGGTGACTGCGCCCTACTAGATGGGGATTTGTATGCAAAATGTCACTAAAAGCGCCATTTCGTTCTTATAAAAGCACGGATGACCGCGATTGGCCCATATGTTGTAGTCTTTTGGACGCTGAGTCGACTGGTTTTGGTCCGAAAAGGCTGCGATGCGGCGTTCCTCCTTTATTCCCAATCGAACATGGTTGAAGAAGCGGTCACGTGCTCCTGCGTACACCAGTCACCTGGTCACCGTGCCTGCAGGGTACAACTTACTAGCCTGTTTGACCTTTTTTGGGTGCAGTCCTGTCACTCGAGTTGAACTCGAGTTGAACCTTGGTGTGAAAGTTGTCACCTGCTGGCGTGGTGACCAGGTGATTTGGGCACCCAGGACCACGTGACCGCTTCTTCAACCATGTTCGATTGGGAATAAAGGAGGAACGCTGCATCGCAGCCTTTTCGGACCAAAACCAGTCGACTCAGCGTCCAAAAGACTACAACATATGGGCCAATCGCGGTCATCCGTGCTTTTATAAGAACGAAATGGCGCTTTTAGTGACATTTTGCATACAAATCCCCATCTAGTAGGGCGCAGTCACCCAGTTTCGGTGGAAGTGCGCGAGTTCGATTGGGATTCAAGTAGGAAGGGAGCGTCTCAGCTTCCTCGGACCACGACCATTCGACTCAGCACCCCGAAGACTACAACTGGTGAAATTTTAATTTTTGCCTTAACTTCCCCTTTAACAATTTCTGGCAAGTGTTGAGGTTAGATCTCGAGCGCGTACATACACAGATCCTTAGGGAGAGGATTCAAGATCAACCCAACACAGGTGCACAAAGGCATCCGGCCTTTTTACGCAGAAGCACGTGTTGAACGAAACGACTAAGTGAATTCAATGCCACTGTACGTACAAGCGCAACACACATAGCCCCCCCCCCGAAACAGCCAATTGGATATGGCTCTGACGCCTTGATCCTTGAAGGGTGGTGGCGTTCCTACGGATGCGGAAAACTCGGCCTCTAGCTGAGTCTAACGCGAACCGTGAATTTTTTTCTTACCAAAGAGCGATTTTCATTCATGCCAAGTGGGATAATTGACCAGGAATGAACATTATTGATAGAAAATCCCACTTTTACATGAATTGGGTGGGTCAACTTTTTCGAGATAAGGCCCGGCCATTGCCGACCGTGGAGTGGGTAAAACACATTTACAAAAATTCTATCAATAGTGAGATAGGAAAAAAAATGCTATCGCTACGCTAAGCTAAAACGATTCTCTGTCACGCACGGCAGCGAAAACTCACCGCATCACTGTGGAGCACTTGGCAACTGCAAACGGCGTCTTCCCCTCGGTGTTGACACACGTCCTGTCAGCTCCACTGTCCAGGAGTAGTCGAACAACGGTAGAATGGCTAAACATAGCGGCGGCGTGCAGTAACGTGTTACCACCCGTTGATTCCTGGTGACATCACAAGCGCAAGGTTAAACAAGAATAAAAGGATGAAAAAGTGTTTTCACTCCGAGTTTCACGCAATATTGAAGCAATCATCAGAAAACAGGTCTGACTTGAACTGCTTTCGGATGATCGCTTAGTGCGTGAAACTCGGAGTAAAACACTTTTTTTCATCCTCTGATCCTTGTTGGAATTAGCTCTACACACACACCATTGGACCATTGGACCATTGGACCATTGGTTGCCCATCGCCAGAGGCGATGATAGCGATGCTACGGCAGAAGCCATAGCAGCTTGTGCTGGGATTGCACCATTCAACAGCTTGCAAGGCTGAAGAATTGACCACCTACACACACACACACACATACACACATACACACACACATACACACACACATATATATATATATACACACATACACACATACACCTGGTCCTGGTAAACACTGCCATTACGGTCACGTGTCCCCTTACGGGGCCGACAATATAGAACGACAAGCGGGACCACGTTCGAGAGAGCCATCTACAGCAGCTATGGATCTGGCTTGTCATCGGAAACAATTCCTCTCACGGCTGCCGCTAGAACTGGTCCATCACTCTCCACAACAGAGCGAACATTCCATGAGCCAACGCTCAGAGTCCTTCCAAGTCGTCGTCTTTGTGCGGTAGTTTGCTTCTCTCGCGGGCTTGCAAAGCCTCGCGAAGGACTCCGAGGTGGGGGCGACGAGGAGAGTGTCGGCATCGTAACTATCCGACCAAGTCTCCTGTCGGTGAATATCCCACCTCAGGCACTGTTGGCCTGGACGGCTGGGGACACCCCAGGCCGTCCACAACGGCGAGAACAAGCACGGACGGAGGCCAGAAACAAGAGCCCGAAAAAGTACAATCGTCCTCCACCAGAGCAGAGAACACACACATTGTCAAGATGTTCAACTATTTGAAAGATTTTCTTATCTTTTGTTCTCTGCTCTGGTGGAGAACGGTTGTACTTTTTCGGGCTCTTGTTTCTGGCCTCCGTCCGTGCTTGTTCTCGCCGTTGTGGACGGCCTGGAGTGTCCCCAGCCGTCCAGGCCAACAGTGCCTGAGGTGGGGTATTCACCGACAGGAGACTTGGTCGGATAGTTACGATGCCGACACTCTCCTCGTCGCCCCCACCTCGGAGTCCTTCGCGAGGCCTTGCGAGCCCGCGAGTGGAGCAAACTACCGCACGAAGACGACGACTTGGAACGACTCTGAGCATTGGCTGATGGAATGTTTGCTCTGTTGTGGAGAGTGATGGACCAGTTCGAACGGCCGCCGTGAGAGGAATCATTTCCGACGATAAGATAAGAAAATCTTTCAAACACATACACACACACACCATGTACACACACAGACACACATACACACACACACATACACACACACATACACACACACACACACACACACCATGTACACACACGCACACACACACACACCGCTCTGCGCACTTGAACGTGGCACTACTTTATTCATGAGGTTGGATTTCTCCGGCCAGGGCTGTACATCCATTAAAGGGGAAGTTAAGGCAAAAATCAAAATTTCACCAGTTGCAGTCTTCGGGGTGCTGAGTCGAATGGTCTTGGTCCGAGAAAGCTGAGACGCTCCCTTCCTACTTGAATCTCAATCGAATTCGCGCACTTCCACCAAAACTGGGTGACTGCGCCCTACTAGATGGGGATTTGTATGCAAAATGTCACTAAAAGCGCCATTTCGTTCTTATAAAAGCTCGGATGACCGCGATTGGCCCATATGTTGTAGTCTTTTGGACGCTGAGTCGACTGGTTTTGGTTCGAAAAGGCTGCGATGCAGCGTTCCTCCTTTATTCTCAATCGAACATGGTTGAACAAGCGGTCACGTGCTCCTGCGTACACCAGTCACCTGGTCACCGTGCCTGCAGGGTACAACTTACTAGACTGTTTGACCTTTTTTGGGTGCAGTCCTGTCACTCGAGTTGAACTCGAGTTGAACCTTGGTGTGAAAGTTGTCGCCTGCTGGCGTGGTGACCAGGTGATTTGGGCACCCAGGAGCACGTGACCGCTTGTTCAACCACGTTCGATAGGGAATAAGGGCCGAACGCTGCATCGCAGCCTTTTTGGACCAAAACCAGTCGACTCAGTGTCCAAAAGACTACAACATATGGGCCAATCGCGGTCATCCGTGCTTTTATAAGAACGAAATGGCGCTTTTAGTGACATTTTGCATACAAATCCCCATCTAGTAGGGCGCAGTCACCCAGTTTCGGTGGAAGTGCGCGAGTTCGATTGGGATTCAAGTAGGAAGGGAGCGTCTCAGCTTTCTCGGACCAAGACCATTCGACTCAGCACCCTGAAGACTACAACTGGTGAAAAATTAATTGTTTCCTTAACTTCCCCTTTAAGATATGCAGCCGCTTTTATCTAGCAAACATGCACGACTCACTCTGGCATCCATGCTCTGGCCTCTGTCCAGTAGCGTCCGCACAGTTTCAACGTGGCCTTGCATAGCAGCTACATGTGCGGGCATTAGGTCATCCTCACCCGCAGCTGTCAGCTACACGTACGGAAAGAGGTGACACGAAAACACAGCAATACACAGTGGTATGAAGTTTTATTGCTCAAGCATGAAGTGTGGTGGTTGATAAGCATGAAGACTGACTCGGATATTCGGAGGGCGCTAACACGACTGATGTATGCTTGAAACTACAGTAACAACTGGTGTAAGCGACCTCTGTGTTTAGCGACCACCTGCTTTTAACCACCGTTTTTCCAAGCACGGCCAGTTCTACACAGAAACTGCACTAGATACAGCAACCACCTGTCTTGCGCGACAAGCGACCGACTTTTAGTGCACCAAGTGCCATATTGCACCTGCACGCAGCGACCAAAACTAACCTAAAGTGCCATATTGGCTGTCAGGTTTGACAGCAACAGGGTTGAAGTGCGTTCTGATTCATGTGCATGCAGTCAACAGAAGTGACAAGGGACCCTGCAGGATGCGCTGCATGCACTTGAGTGAGGCGTGCTTTGCTGCAGAAAATATTTTTTGCTCCACACCTGTCAATATGAGTACATGGAAGTACAATCATGCACATGTACGTACACAATCCGATATGTCACGAATGTATGGGACCTGGTTCCAAAGACCATCTGGCTTTAACGACCGCTTTTGCTTCCACCGTGGGGTGGTCGCTTTTAAAACCCAGGTTTTACCGTATGTAGCGCCGGTGAGGAACCATAGCAACTCCATATCATTGATTGCCAGTCCCAGTACCGAAATATCCCGCTCCACCTGGGATTTCTTGCCTGGGAAAGGAATTTGAAATGTACTCAGACTATTCAGAATGTATTATCTCAACAGTATTGTTTACTATTGGTACCAAACCCTGCTCGTGACGGGACGCAATTTCGCCGCAACATTCACACTCACACTTGCTCCGTGATCCAGCAGCAGGGCTGCAAACTCTTCGAGACCCTGCACAGAAATCATACATGCACATACATGTATCAGAAAAAGCAAGCAAGCAGCAACAAGCAGGCTACCTTCACTACATTATGCGGCATAAACTGATAAAGTGTGTTATTCTTGAGCATCCTGTAGCATGCTACACAAGTCATTCGACCTTGGATACACAGTACTTCAGCTTTTGCAGGCAGATGTTTACGGCCCTTGGAGGTCAGCTAAACTTTGGTTTCATATTAATAATAATTACAGCAATGCAATGCGCAGAACTAATACAGGAACCAGCTGAGGGCATTTGACTCTAAAAAGACTTCTTCTGGAAACATGACATTCTGAACAGTTATGGACTCGGACGGAGAGCCAAGGATTAATTTATAAAAATAAATGTTTAAAATATATGGACTCGGATCGAGTGACAAGTATAAACTTATAGTAAAGAAAAAATGACCGAGGAACTACAAGTTACACTATAATGTCCACTAACACCACCAGTTACTAAACACTCAGCTCATGCGATAACATTGCACGACACTGACCGACGGTACTGATGGTCTATCATCTTTGAGCCACACAAGTTGTTTTGAATGTTGCTTTGCGTCCTTGAATCGTGGTTTGACCGTATTGTCCAATGGTCTTGCCAGTATCGTCATGGACATGCATGAACATCCGCCAACGTCCTTCACAGCTGAGACTTTCAGCT